TTTCCTTTCATTCTGCAATTTTTAAAAGCGCACAGCTTTGGCCAACGCCAGTGGCAACAGTTGACTTAGCCACGTGGCCAGCTGTTGCCCACTGCCATTGCACTGATCGGCGAGACAATCCTGACAGAATATTCGCTTAACATTATTCTCGGTTGGCTCCTCCATGCAATGCTCCAGTGAATCGGATTTGTTGGTGTAGTAGCAGAAGCGTTTCGTAATCGTTTTGCCATTGACTTTATTGGAGATAAATACCGGCAGAAGAAAATAAAATTTTAGTGATCTTATTCAGTTGCATGTATGTAAGTACATATGTTTGTATGGCTGTATCAAAAGGGCAACTTACTTTCTTCAACAGTTTTACGACAAACGGGTCGCTCATGCTCCGAGTGTGTGGTGCTGCTGCAATTTCGCAAAACGCTGATATTGTGTTCCTTCATCACTTCCGGTTTGGGAATGTTATCCTCATCGAAAGTGACATCACAAAAGTCCTCCGCTCCAATTGTTTCAGAGCTGCAGTGCCAGCACTCCAGTTGCCTTGGTTGATTGGCTGTAAAGTAAGAATAGGAAAAAATATAAATAGACGTTAACAGACAATTCTATGGAAAAATATGTAGGTATGTTTGTAATCGGTTTAAAACAGCATAAAAGGACGATCGTTAAATCTTCATAAGTCTATAAGATATATCTGAAATGGAGCTCACCATTTAGTTGCCTAAGTCGAGCCTAAATTACTTACTTACGTTTGGGTGTAGATTATTTGCAGCAAGGAGGCTTTAGCTACCAACAATGGCGTAATTTCAAATACGTCGGATTAAAGCTACTTGTTTGGCCCCCTCCAGCCGGTGTGACATAGCTGGTGATGAGGCCAAGAATGCCAATGTCGTCCGCATGCGTCACGGCTTTCAGAGAGCCACTAGTCAACACACCGCGGCTGCTGCGAGTAGTGAAATGGGAGTCCGCAGACCCTGGAGCAGTTTTGGTTTCGATATTGTAGAAGTCCCCAAGGTCCTCTGATTGTTAACTTTTCAGCGAATCCAATCGGTTTTGATTTTTTGTCCGCCATATTGGGTCCGCCATTTTAAATTTTTCAAATCTGGCTTCAT